CAGGAATCACTGCATTAGACAATAGAAGGCTAAAAAGACAGGATCCAAGAGCTAAGACTCGATCCTGTAGGCACCAACATGTACATGCAAAACAGTGCCATGGATCATTCAAGCAATCTCTTACGTGTTCTGAGGTCACGTAAGGTCACACCCGCTCAAACTGCATTGATTAAACTATTTTCGATCTTCGAAGTACTTCGAGGTTGTCTTCAGCTCAAGGTTAATATGATTACGAACGACTTCGTACCGCTTCTGAGGTCGTAAACTGTTTAATAAAGACAGACAAGGTCGCCATGATGGAAGGTAAAGGTAGAGATCTGGTCAAGGGAAGAGATATAAGTGTTGAGCACAGGCCAGGTTGATGACCCGTCTCTCAGGCGGGGCCAGGGAGCTATGTCTCGTGCGAGTACATTTAGTGGACCTGGCCGCACAGGTTTCGTAGGTATAGACACGTAACAGCGTGACGAATCGTGGCGTACCTACCTTGAGGCTACCTTGAGGTGCTTCCGGGGCTTAGTGTCCCCGCGGCCCGGTCGTCGACCAGGCCTCCTGGTTGCTGGACTGATCAACCAGGCTGTTAGCTGCGGCTGCTCGCAGCCTGACGTATGAGTCACAGCCTGGTTGATCAGGTATCCTTTGGAGGTGCTTATCCAGTTCTCTCTAAGCGTTGGTAAGAACAGCGGCTCATATTACCCCTGTTCTCGTCTCCCCCCCCCCCCTTGTGTAAACAAATAAAATAATTACAAATAAAAAATAATAAAAATAATTGTTAAATGATCAGGTCCATATTCCCCAACATTGGACGTCCTGCTGGCCTGGAGGGACGTGAGTAACGAATGGCAGCTATTAACGAAATATATTTCCTCAACCTTGTCTACCTACAAAGAACGTCGCATTTCGACCGAATGCGTTACCTAAGGCCAAAAAAATTGCTTTAGAAAATGGAAGGGGGGCTGGCGAAAGTGACGTACTGTCCCGTTTTCTGTTTTGGGTCCTCTGGTAGGTTAGGAGAGGTCACTTCTAATTGACCGTTTTCTTGACGTTGGGCAAGACTCTTAACTTTGAGCCAGCCCGTCCTCCAAAGACTTTGAAGTCCTGGGAGGACGGGCTGATTTCCTTGCGACGCTGCATATAGTCTTTCTGGCTAGGCACTTTCTTTTGATAATTATACTTGCGACGCCACTCTCCACACGTGTGGACAGTACTGAACACACCTGCACTCTCCACACGTGTGGACAGTACTGAACACACCTACACTCTCCACACGTGTGGACAGTACTGAACACACCTGCACTCTCC